TCAATTTATAACATCCTGTAGAATTACGAAGATTTTCCTATATTTTTAATCATTTTATCTAAAAAAATGGCTTTATCATAGGAGTCGCCAAAATTCCTTTTAAGGGCTTTCATTTTAACCCAAAACGAAGCTTTTCACAAAGTTTCATCGAAATCGGAGGGGGGCCGTTTTCGGAAGTCTACCCAAAGTATTATATTTCAACAATATATTGCAGCAATATTACTGTAATATTTCAATATTATTCAAAAACGTGTAATACATTAGTTATATTTCTGTAATATTTTATTGTAATACGTAATATTTCAACTTTATTGCAATATTACTGCAATATTTCTGTAATATTACGTGCTATAGTTGGTAGTAGATTGCGAACCCTGCGGGGATATGCAATAAATAACGAATTTTACAGGAATTTACTAACGTAGCTACAAGCGGATTATCTCGCAAGCACAATAAAACTGAATAAAACAGTTTTTACTTTTTCGATCGACACATATATTGAGTTTTGATGTTTAATATGAATATAAAATAATATTGTAAAATAATAATATTTTTGATTGGCCGGAAAGATATTTTTAACAAGTCTTTTTGTCTTTATTGAAAGGCATCATAAAAAAGATGACGAAAAGTTATCTTTATTATAATGACTTTTTCAATAAGTATCAAATAAAGGTGTCTTTCACACAATCACACAATGCTGTCATACTGCTAGTAACGCGAAGTAAATTTATCCAATGTTGCCTGCGTGTTGCTTCAAATATTAAATTACTCGAAATCAATTGCAAATATACGGCAAGTTGCCAACATTATATGCAATCACAGATTTGCGCGATTTTGCACAGACACGCTTGGCTATCTGGGTCACTCGTCATCTCTTTCAAAGGGCACAATTAGAAAGAGATAAAGAGTGCGAGTTAAGCTAAAGTTAAATATTATGCGACGTTGATGCAACCGGACCTTTATAGTATTATATGTGTTGTCTGGATAGTTTTTCTAGTAGAAAACGCTATACGTACATACTTTTAATCTGCTTGCATCCTATTCCATACACCTCTATGAAGCTAGCCGACAGAAATTAATAAATTCGATTATTTTTAACTTTTCTAATTGTAAATTTCGTTTGTAAATCATTTGTGATAGATTTTGTAAGTTCGTTTTTAACGTTTGTGATCAAATAGGTTTTTTGTAATTAACAATTTTATTTTAGTCGTTATATCTGCTGCCGACACTTTTAGTAACAAATAGATTTTACGATAACCGATAACTGTAATTATAATATCGTTTGTGATTTACAAATATACGGGTTACCTTTGTATGTTAATAAATTTTTTAATTATTTGCAATTATTGCAAAATAAGTTCAGTTAATAAATTTTTTCAAATTTATTTAAATTTATTTTTTTTTAATTTAATTTAAAGATTTCACATCTTTTTTTGAAATACATGTCACTTGAGTTAAGTTAGGTAACATATAATTTTGTGAAGAAGAAATAAAGCCACTATCACTTAGGTTGGATTTTTAAATAAAAACAAAATACATATTGCGTGTACTTGGCTCCTTTTTTTTACTTTTTTTTTTAATATAACAAAAGAGATAATGCAAGTTTATGTACATCATATGTTTAAATGTGCTGACGTGCATTACGTAAAATATTAATCATCGGCGCAGGCTATAAATAAAACTTTATCAACATATTCGATTCTAATCTCACTTATCTCACTTGTTTCCTGAAATTATTGATATTTTCACAAACACATCTACGCAACACAGATCAATAAATACCCTGTTTGTCAGTCCGCTCGTCAGTATTCCAGCGTATCCGACATGGACAACAGCAGAGTCGAAATATGCGTGCACGAGGGAAAGTTAATTGGTATTGTAGAAAAAGGTGTTTACGGTGACTACTACACCGCCTTTCGAGGAATACCATATGCGAAACCGCCAATTGGAGAACTTAGATTCAAAGTACGTAAAGTTCTATTATTATGAATGCATTTTCAGAAAGAGATAAATTAATTTTAGTTTTAATCTAACTGTAGTGCGATTCTCGTCTGTAACTCGTTATGCTGACGTTTATGTAAGGGAGACCGGGGCTCGTTGGTACCGTTTTCACAATTTCGGCATTTGAGTTTTTAAATAACTAATTATCATGATTAAACAGTACTAATATGACAGAGAGAACCTTTCTCTACATTTTCATGCCAGAAACGCTCCTGTATACTGTATAGTTTCTTTGTAATAAGTGAAATACGAACATGCTGCATTGTAGTTAACTTGCCCCGATAGTAGGGTAAGTTGGCGAAAGTCGATGTTAAATTAATGAAAACGTAATAGAAACACAAAACGGGTAGGAGATATGTACTTATTGATAAAGATTGTATCTTTTAAAAGTTATTTTGTAATGATCGAATAGCAAAATGCTGTTGCAGAAAAACAATTAAAATATTAATATAAATCTATATCTAGCTTCTATCAGCATTGTAGGTAGCAAATCACATACTCACACAGGTCTCACGCGCGCGGTAACAAGTCAAGCTAAGCGTGTCTTGATATGAGCCAACCATCCCTACATACGTTTGAGTTCGGTCATTTTATTACAATAAATTACTGTTGTTCCTCAAAATAACATGTCGTATAGTAACAGAAACTTTTCTTTTAACTATAATGATACGTCACTTTGATTTACTTCTCAAGCTGAAAAACATTAATATGATTTTTTGAAACGCTCGAAAATTACTTGCCATCTCTTGAATCAGTTTTCTCTTTTTCTATTGTAATACTTATTTGATATAAATAAAACTTTGGGAAAAGTACTTATGTCATAAAAGATATATTTTATTGTAATAACTTTTCCATTGATTTTTTTCGCTATAAATACATAAACGGAACGCATTGCCAACTTGCCTCTTGTGCCAACGAGCCCCGGTCTCCCCTACTCATAACAACAGTTGCGCAAGTATACTGTATGCACAGAAAAAAAGAAGTATCAAATCAACACTGATATACTTGTACATACGCAAGAATATATAATCTTCTTATATAGGAATTTCCATTTTTTATTTCAACTTTTTTTTCTTACTTGTTAATTGAATCGCATATAAAACTTCGTTTAACTATATAAATTATTTCATTTAAGCAAGTTTTCTTCGTTCAACGCAACAAAATCTTATTTCAAGATTATATATTCTTGCGTATATACACGTATATACAGTGTTGATTTAACACTTCTTTTTTTCTGTGTGGTAAAAAAGCTGCGCAATGACAATATAGCGGTAACGATACTGTATAAGGAGTTACAGAATCGCAGCACTGATCACTTATCGCGCTTTAAGAAAATTAGAAAAATACGAAAAGTCACAACTCTTTTAGGGAAAATTATGATTAAACAATACCGATAAACGATATCTGTTTATCAAGTATCAAGTATATTATGTAATTATTATATAATCTGTTTGTCTTTTATTATTATATAATCTTATTATATAATCTTTTTTTCTTTATCTATATATGTAAAAATAAAATAGTAATATAAAATATTAATTAATTTTAGTTTTGGCCTAACTAATCGCTTATCATGTCGTAAGGAGATTAGAAAAATACGAAAAATCAACTCTTTTAGAGAAAAATCCGATTAAACGACACTGATAAACCTATTTATTAGTTGTGTTATGCATGCAATTATTATATAATCGGTTTTTCTTTTTCTATACATAAATTGCACCCTGAGAAGAATACTGTCACAAGTTTATATGCGAAATCTGCTGCATGGGGCTAAAGTGTCGTTATTCATGTAAACCAGTTATGTTGTGATTTCTTCAATAAATAGCGCTGTAAGCGAATTGACAAGTGAATCATATAGCTGACCTCTTCAAGAAAAAATATAAGTTTTATTACAACAAAATTATAATTGCGTTCACAATTCACAGAAATTGAATTAGATTTGTTTAAAATCATTAATTTTTTAGTTGTGACAGTATTCTTCTTGAGGTGCGATATTTAAACATGAAATAATAATAATAAAATACTATTACTTAGAACAATAATTTAATAAACTAAAGAAGATTACGATAAACAAATTTTTATGCGCGATTGTTCGAAGAATTTCGAACAATTTATTTGTAACATAAATTAATCTTTTAATTTGTTAAACAATTTGTTGATAATATAAATTAGTAATTAAGTTTAAAGTTATTAGTCACAAAAAAAAGATAAACTAGCATAGACGTTCAGTGCAGGCCGTTCCTGATTCATGCGGAACTTACAGCTCATTCGTTAGCTTTAAATTGTTCTTATTTAAGAAGTACTACTCAAACGCAATTTTACGTAAAGAAAAAGTTGTTTCTTCTGACTCAGAGAATCTCACGGTGTGCACAAATTTTTAAAGATTCTATATATGAACGGATTTTACGTATTTATAGGATCCAGTGCCAGCGGAACCATGGTCCGGTAGTAGAGACGCCTCAAAACACGGAAATATCGCTGTTCAATTGAATGATTTTACAGGCGAAATTGAGGGCGATGAAGATTGTCTCTATTTAAATGTGTACACAACAAAAATTGAATCCTTAAAAAAACGTGCCGTTATGGTATGGATACACGGCGGTACCTTTTATATGGGTTCCGGTGATGCACTTTTGTATGGCCCCGATTACATCGTGCAAAAAGACGTAGTTTTGGTTACCTTGAATTATAGACTAGGCGTTCTAGGTACGTTATTCGTTTCAGTATACAATCATTGTATGTCATTTTGTGGCATTAATAGTAAATCGTTATATTGTATTTATTTTAACGATTATTATTTCACTTGGATATGTTAATTTTTTTCTTACAGACCTTTCATTCCCAAGTTAAACATTTCAAAAATATAAATTTATAAAAAAAAAGTTAAATCCACATTTATATTTATATCACGTTTACAATACGTTATTTACTTTTTGTATACAAGACTAATATTTATATTTGCCGCTCATACGATCAGTGTACTAGAAACAAGTTATGGCGCGCGATTTTTCCTTGGGATATATAAAGTAACCATTTTTTTTTTAAATTTAAACGAATCGACTTTATAAAAAAAAGATGCATTAATGACTTCAGGTTTCCTAAACCTTTACAACAAAGTGGCAACGGGTAATCAAGGTCTGAAGGATATAATCATGGCGTTACAATGGGTCCAGAAAAATATATCAAAATTCGGTGGAGACCCAGAAAATGTCACTATCTTCGGTGAAAGTGCTGGTGGAGGCCTCGTACATTATCTCACTCTGTCTCCATTAGCTAAAGGTATAATATATGTTATCGATATAGTAGACTTATCGATTCACTCATAATAATTTAGAATTTTCCAATCTCATCCCATTTAAACATGAATTTATTTATAATTTTCAACCGCGATTTTTTATTAACAAAAACATACAAACACCTACGTTTGGATATGGAAAATAAATACTTTATAAATTTATTAAACAGATAATAAATTCATTCTCTTTTTCTCTTTCACATAATTTCAAATAAGATATATTTTTTAAAAAAATTATTTGTAGTTTTTAAATAAATAATTCAAATTTTAATTACAAAGTTATATCAGTAAAATATTGAAATTTATAAAATAACTAACAAATCTCCGAGGCAGAGAGAGAGAGAGAGAGAGAGAGAGAGAGAGAGAGGTAAATTGTCAGTAATGTAAAATTATATATAATCACAAAGATTAAGGATTCAATGATTTAAAAAACTTGAATTGATTATAAAATAATTTGTATATTAAAAAAAAAAGAAATATTTTATGATGACAATAGAATTAATTTGTTACGACTGTTTTACAGGTTTATTTCATAAAGCGATATCGCAAAGCGGCGTCATAAGGTGTCCTTGGGCTTTTACCGAACAACAACTACATTCGGAGAAAGGTTTTCGGCTCGCCGAGAAACTTGGAAAAGCGACCGCAGATCCGAAAGTCGCTTACGAGTTCCTCAAAACAATTGATGCAAAAAAGCTTATAGAAACTGAACGGAAGTTTCTCTTGACGGAATCAGTAATTATCTGAACATTTAATCGTAATTATACGAGTGCAATAAATTATAGTATGCACGCTACTATTTTTAGTCTATGCGAATAAAATACTTTCTTTGATAATATTTTTTTGCAGGAGCGTAAACAATCCAGCTTGATATTTACACCCTCTTTGGATCACGAATCATCGAATCCATTTTTCCCGGAAGATCCAGAGACGTTTATGTGCCGCGAGGTTAAAGTACCATTTCTTTTAGGTTTTACCAGTTGCGAGGGATCTGTTATGATAGGCAGTAGCTTTAACGGACGTGAGTTTTATTTTTATCTCTATAAAATATATTTTTAATCGTTTTGAATTTTCATACAATGTGTTGTATTCAAAATAATATAATATTAGTATTAGATGACCTAGAGCAAACATGCATGTCAATGCTTACAATTAAATAAAATTTTCACGAATAATATTGTACATATATCTATATAAAGTTAGTAAATTTTATTAATCCGTAATTTTGGAATTCATATAAGAATCATAATTAATTGCTAAAACATTTTTGTTCCAAGATAACTTTATTGTACGTTTGTCGTATAGTTGAGTTTCGTTATCGTAGAACGTGTTGAGATAAATGTATATTTTCATATACCGTATTATACTATCTATGTATAATATAGGTATATGTAATATATGTATCTCTCTCATGTCGCATTCTTTTTATCAGATCACACTATATGAAAAATGTTAAATAATGTTTTGACAACATATTTTCTTTGGCAAATGTGCTTAAATCAATAATTTTTTTTAGCTTGAAAGAAAGATTTGTTAAAATATTCATTACTTATCACGCAACAATCTTATATGTAGAAAATAATACTAAAATGTTTTTAAAATTATTTCAGAGATAAGCAAAGAGGATCTTGGAACAGTCAATTCCGATTTCAAGAAAACTATATTGCCCAGATGTTTATCTACATTATCAAAAATATCAATCACAATCGAAGAATTGAAATTTTTATATTTTGGTGACAAAGCAGTGTCAGAGGAAACTCTAATGAATTACGTTGATTTTATCAGCGACGAATTCGTCTGTCGTGGCATAATGGAAGTGGTGGATATTCAGACAAAGTTGAATAATAATGATAACAAAGCGACGTATCTGTATCAATTTTCATACGAGAGTGAAACTAATCCCTTGAGAAAAATATTTAAAGTTCAGATCCCAGGTATTATCATTAATTCATTTAAAACTATTTAACAACTTGTAATTACTTCAAAACTATCTAACGACTTTTAATTTTAGAGAGTATGTATATCATTTTATGTTGTAATTACACATATCGCAATTACAACATAAAACAACTCCAAATATTTTTAAATTTCTTAGTTTTTAAATCTATAGGTATGATTTTAAGGAAACAAAAATGGTTTTATTTTATATAATTTAATTTAAAAAGTAATCTGTCTTTTAAAGCATTTAGAAGATTAATTTACGGATTTAATTAACGGTTAAATGATAATATTTTATAGGTGTGGCTCATGCCGAGGAATTGGCGTACTTATTTCATCCTTATATGATAAAAGATTTGGGCTTGTCAGCACCTGCAGTTGATTCGGAAGACTATAAGATGATAAATTGTTTAACGCAAATGTGGACAGATTTTGCTAAAACAGGGTACGACAATATCTTTTTTTTTTCGAATTTTAAACGTATTTAAACGTATTTTTTTAATTTTTGCGACATTTTAATTTTATTACGTATCGCGTATTAATGATTAACTCTCAATCTGATTTAGGAATCCAACGCCTATTACAAATTTGTGGTTGTCAGTGACCGATTCACAAAGCGAAAAATACAATTATCTGAATATCGATACAAACTCGCAAATGAAGGTCTTTCGTAAAGGAGAAGAAAGATGGGATTGGGAAAAAAAGAAAAATAAGTTACGGCGCTAAAATTTTATCTACGTTAAAATTAGGTTTCTCTGGGTACAAAAATCGATTTTTTTTAAAGGGGTGTTTTATCCCCTAAACATGCGATTGGGCACGTATAAAAAAATACGTATCCCTTTATTGTGCATAGTAGCATAAACGAACAAGAATGAAGTTTACTTGCAATTGGATTAGATTCTCACTGCAGAAGATGTTTTATATTTTAATTTTTTATTCAAAGTTTATTATACAGGAGAGCGCTAGACGCGTTTTAAAATCCTGCAGGCTGTAACTTTTAATGACATTTTTTGTTATATTGTCGTGTGTGTGTGTGTGTGTTGTGCAGATATTATATGGTAAAAAAACCTGTTCAATGTAGGAACGATAACAAAACGAAACTGATTGTTAAGAGTTGCAGACTCAGGCAGGTCTACAATTCAAAAGGGGATCAGAACTGCGTATTTGTAAATTCTCGCCGCCGGCGAAAAGATTTTAATTTAATGCAACAGGAATAAGTTTCCTTGGTGAGAGGGTCTGTCGCAAACATACTTTAAATTAACTCTGTCTGTATCATCCATGTCGTCAGAGTTTTTACAAGGCTGCACACGGAAAAATATTATTCTATTTAGTTAGACGAAGTGATGTTCGCTACAAATTAAATTTCGCGAAATTAACATAATAGCAGTGACTGTCTATATCGGTACGAATATCAATCTCAATTCAAGTGTGTTATAAACTTGATTCAGAACGTAATAGAAGAGACGTCGCAGATTTTTGGATGACTCGCAACTTTCCCGGCCGCAATCTTTCTTTAGATGTGCATATCAGCTTCGCAATCCCTTTCGTGCTATCGTGAGACATACAGATTAAAGCTCTCAATAAGACGTAAGATGCGCTTACGTTGATTGAGGTACATGTATTTAAGGAAAACTCTTAAATAATTTGAGGTTTGAAGCCCGAATTGTGTGCATCCACGTGC